CTTTAAAAATTATTCACAAATATTTACAAATATATACTTTAAGAAATATAATTCATTTTGTGATATAGCCTCAATTTTAATACATTATGTACTCAAACATAATTTTATGTCAATATTATTATGAAATGAAAAAAAAATCGCTGCCTTATCTACATATCAAATTGCTGAATTTATTTTATTATAAAATAAAAAAAATATAGAAATCAATTTAAAATTCATGATCGTCATTTCATATATAATTATATATATATATATAGCATTATATAATATAATATAGCATTATAAATTTAAAAAATTTATCTTGTTATCAAGTTATATATAAAAAGGATGTGTAAAAAGGATGAAATCTTTATCTTTTCCAATTTTTTTTTTTAAATTTACATTAAAATAAATGTTAAGAATTAATAGCATGAATACTCTACATGTACACTATTATCCAGAATTCACAAACAATAAAAAATTTCAAATAAAAATATAAAAAGTTATATATTAAATTTATTTATTATAATCAAATTTTCTTCGATAATAAAATAAAATAAAACGAAAAAGAAAATGATAAAATCTTAAATCAATATAAGAAAATTTTTCTTTGCTTAAAATAGTTATCAATGTCACTAAATATTTATTATAACATTTTTTATAATTTATTATATTTTTATACTATTTGCAAAAGATTTTTTTTTATATAACTATTTCTATATAACTTTTGAACAATAGTGTATATATTTTTTTTTAGAATTTTATTAATTAATTTGTGTGTGTTGCAAGATAAAGTTGAAAATCGCTGTTAACATTGGTCTACAAAATTTTTATTTTCTTTTTATTATATAATATTTTAATTATATTTTTTATGCTAGATTCAAACATACAATCTATTTATTTATATTATACATAATTTTTGAATGATCTACAATTTAATATTTATAAATTGTATAATCTTATATGTATTGATAAAGAAAGTTAGCCAAAGTGAAAACAAAAAATGTAAATGAAAAAAATCATATGATATGAATCATCGAAATATTTTATTTTTAATTAGGATCATACGAAGATATTATTTCTTGTGTATCAGAGTGTAAAAAATTTATTGTGTAAAAGTTTCAATATAGTGATGGCATAATAACTATTTTTTTAATTTGATTATTGAGAAATTATTGCAGTGAATAAAACATTAGATTATACAATTCTCTTCTACTTTATTTTTACTCATAACTCATAAAATAATTTTCATGTGTCATATAGATTATAATTTTTTTGATACCAAACGTGTTTCGAATGATATAATTCAAATATGAAAAATATGATAATGATACGAATTTACCATGTATTCTTTTGGAAAATAATTATCATATGAAAGAGATAATAAATACAGCCTTTGAGAAGTTAATTGATCATTTATCTCAAAAAATAAATATTAATTTTTTATAAAATACTTTATATGTTTGTATCTATAGTAAAATGGAACATATATGGAGAGAAAAATGGAAATATTTATTTTAGTGTGTATTTATTTTTTTCTAAATTCATTAGATTAAACAATAAAATATTGTTTGATTGTATATTATATAAAAAAAAAATATATATATTTGTGATTATTAAAGTTCTCTAAAAAATTTGTTTATTTATCTTTGATTTTTTATAGATTTTTTAATTTTAATATTCTCCATATTATATTTTTATTTATATTATTATATACTATTCATATTTAGTTATTTTATATAAATTAATAGTTTTTATTTTAAAAAAATAAAGATTTTGTTTTATTAATTTTAAATAATTTTAAGTGAATATTTCATTTCATACTACAATTTTAGTAAAAAAAAAATTTTAATCATGTTTTCTTTTATAAGTAAATACTTTTTTTAGTTAAATTTTATTTTCTCATAGTCAAAAATTTATTTAAGATTTTTATTCAAAATAAATTATATTATTTTTTTTCTATATTTTTTTTCAGTACAATTCAACAAAAGTGTTTCATTTTGATCAACTTATTTATTAAATTGTAAACAATTTAGATTTGCATTTACGCTTGCACTAAAAAATGTTAAAATGAAACAAAAATAGAATGTTTGGAATGTTTGAATGTTTATAATTTTATTAAAAATAATATTATTTCAATAAAATTTTGTTTATCTTGCAGATAAATGATTATAGTTTTAAATACTACAAGAAAAAATTAAAAAAAAAGGAAGTCTCTAAATTTATTAAAATATAATTGTATTAAAATATGAAATCTTCTTTTTTAGAAACTTCTTTTCATTTTATTTTTTAGACAATAAAGGAAAGATTGAAAATTTAAATGTTACATTTGTTTTCAATTAATATAAACAATATGAAACTTTAAATTTCAACAATTTTTAATTAAGATTTATAAAATCTTATTATTACTACTCCATTATATACTATTCTATTATAGTGATATATGAATAAAATTTGATTCCAAATTGAAATTTAATATCGATAAATATCCAATTAGCGAAACAGATAACAAAAATTTTGTTTACCAATGTCGATATTCATTCTACAAATCATTTATATTTAATAAATTTCACTTACCTCGCAACTCTTCGTACTCATTTAGAAGAACGTATCGCTCATCATGAAGATAGACTGAAATCCAAGAAAAAAAAAAACGAACGATGAGGATGAGGAAAATTTTCCGCGGCAACGAAAGTACATATTTTCGAATGACTTCGAACGGGACGTTTCAAAAGGGACGGTTGCTCACATGGTAAGGAGAGAAGTGGGGTGAGAGGTAGAGCGAAGAAGAAGAGAAGAAGGGAGAGCAAGCAAGAACGAGGAAAGAAAAGAAAGCAGGTAGGCAGGTAGGCAGGTCGGATGAGTCATCATGCTTGGTCGCGTGTGGGGAAGTCGACGGAGGGACGGTGGTCAGGTGTAAAGTCAACGGACTCGAACCCTCTCGTATTCAGGTGCAAGGGACCTGGCTGTTACCTGGCTTTTTCCTCGATCGATTCCGAAACATATCGATTCGACCGAGTTTCAAGCAAAGGAGAAAAATTGTCGTTGCTCACCTTGACAATCGGAGAAGCACTCTTGGGGCAAATAGTTGCGAGCGGTCTTGTTACAGATGGAGGAACACGGTTTGCAACTTTTGTCGTAGCTACTGCAATACTCGATGGTGGAGCAATGTTTTTCACCACATTTCACTCCATCGTGATTCAACGCGGCGGTCGTGCTGCCGATCACCAACAGCACTATGACGAACAATGTCATCATCGTCGAATCCATCCTCGTATCGTGACACGGTATGCGCTATCGTCTCCTACGACGAATACGATTCGAAGTCAACGATGTTCGAAAAAACCATCTTGAGTTGGAAACATACTCGTCCTGGAAAAGCAAGTATGCGTTTCGAAAATTCTAAAACTGATATACACATATATAAAAGTATTTGAATATTTGAATAAAAGTATCGAACGATCAAAAAAATATGTATTAAACTCAAGTTTCGAAAGTAATGTTTTAATAATTATTTTAAACAATATAAGATCTTGATTATAGAATCTAAACATTAATCATATTCGATATTTATAATTTGAAATAAATAAAAAAAACAAAATATCATTTAAAACAGAATATTATTTATTATTAAAATGTTTGAGCATAAACGTCATACATATATTATTTAAATATGCAGTATATTGTTTTATATATTGGAGTATATGTTTTCATTACAAAAGCATATCTTCACAATGAACTGAATGAATCACTAACTTGACATTACTTTGATATCTTTGTTGTATGTTACAATATTACCTTCAAAATTTAAGTTAATAAATATATATATATATATATACATATATATATTTATCATTCGATGTTGAGTAACAAGTGTTTTCGTATACATGTGTAATATTTTTGTTCGATTGCGCGATAGAAAAGATCGGTGGTTACAGACGCGAGAGGGAAACGAGGCGAACGCGTAGCGTGACTCATCGGTGGTATCGCGGAGAACGACCACAGTTCGAAACGCGATCGTCGGCTCGCCGACCGATTCGACCTCGTGGAGTTTCGATCGCCTCGCGCCACGCCGCGCCGCGTGGAAATTCCAAAACGTCACTCTACTCGCTTGCGGGAGTCCACACTCCTTCGATGTCCATGTTCCTACCGAATGGAATACCTCGATCCATCGTCGTCCGACTATGGATGGCGTAATGCTGGACGCAGGAAAAGGGAGAGGGAGAAAGAGAGAGAAAAGGACGGAAAGAAAGAGAGAGAAAGAGAGAGAGCAGTCAGGACGAAGAAAAGAGAAGGGAAGGGGAACCGGTCGGTCGTACCTGGTACCGTAACGTGGGTGCACGAACTCTATTGATGGCGACGACCGAAAGAGAAACGTAACATGGATGAACATCTTGAAATAATCCTGAGAATCGAGTATCTTGACCATTTGTCTACGGATAAAAGTTATAGTCGCTTGAACGATCGACGGGAATGTCACCGAACCGGTTCTCGAGGGCGGCGTCGCTTCAATAAACGTTTTCGCGGCAATAACGAGATTGATTGTTAATTCTCATTTTACATGATGAAATTTAACCGTTTAAAAAAAAAAAAATATTAGCGTACTGATATGTCCATTTTCGATTCAAAAAAGATTTTTCTGTAATTGATCAATCATGATTCGAGCTTCTCGTTCGAGGATTTGCGCATGCGCTGTAGCTACCTGTGATCTTGGACCTCGACAAAACGAGTTGGATCCTCCGACTATGAAAATTCTCTCGGAGCGATTGATCCTTCGAGAATATCGAACGCGCTTTGAATTCGATTGATGCGTAACAGGTGATGCGTGTTCATACAACTTACTTGCTAAAAATTCGTCGAATCGGTGGATAATGTTGTACCCTGAATTGTCGAGATCGAGCCGAATCAATTCGCATTTCGGTAATCGCAACAAGACAATACCGAAAGATTATTCGTTAATTTTGAATTGGGAAACGCGTGACAATGTTCAAAAATGAAAACGCGAGTAAGAAAGAGAGTGAGGTGCCGGAGGGTAAATATCAGACTGCGTCGCGTCGACTGGTCACGGTAAACTGAGGATCGTGGAGCAAACTACGACTCGCACCTGAATTCCACCTCTCCGTACGTTCATCGATCCCCCTTCTCCTTTCCCTCTTTCTCTCTCTCTTCTTGGCCGAAAGACTACGATGCTCCTCCTCCTGCCGTAATACCTGCCGGAATACATTCTCGGCCATTACAGTCGTATCCTACGTACCTGTTGCGAACGGTTACGGTGTTCGATATCGACCTTTGTAGTATTACAACATATCGGGAAGTATATATCAGAGAGACATTTCCAAGAAAATGCATCGGGGGACAAAAAAGAGTTACAAATGGAATCAGGAAAAAAAAGAAAATAAGAACACAATAAACGATTTTCCAGTTATGGATTATATTTTATTGTTCTTCGAATAGATGTCGAGATCTCGAGGATCGCGAATCGACTTTTTTATCCTACTACTTGTTCGTACAAAATATATATTTTATCGTAATTTGCATCGATGATAATCGTCTTAATAATAACGTGACCTCTAACGAATACTCGTTTCTTTCCTTATGCCACTACTGCACCTGATCCTCGCTTCCTTTCAAAAAAATTCGTATCTGTAAATCGATTCGTAACACGATTCAATCAAAGAATTGACCGTGCATCGCTGTGATACATGACTCGAAAAATCGGGATTGATTAACCGCTATCAAAGCCGATTTTTGAAATACCAGTTAATCACGGCGAACGAATCCATTTACGGTTACGCGTGAACGAAATGAGAAGTAGGAAACGAAGATGGGCGTAATATTGCGGTACAAGCCCGCAAAGCTCTGCTCACTTTTCATTACATATCGGTTTCATATACATATCATATCGATTTGTATCATTTCTCTTCTTCTTCTTCTTCTTCTTCTTTTTGTTCTTTTTTTTTCCCTGTTTTTAACAGTGTTAGCCACAAAGAGGCATTCTATCTTTATCTTTCTCTCTCTCTCTTTCTCTCTCTTTCTCTTTCTGTCTGGCTACAGAAAATCCGCGCTACAAATTCCATTTACTGTAGCTGCACAAGCACAAACTCCAGCAACCCGAGCGCGCAGATCGAACGTTCGCGTCACCGGACCTGTTCTCGTTTGCGATTCCGTTCAGTCGAGAAGCGTAGTCGAGGGAACAGTCGGCCGTGACGAGACGCTCTTCGACGCTAGCGGGCCGCTGGAATTCCTATCCTCAGATGCTCTTATGTCCGGCGTTATAAGCAGCAGAAATGGGAGTCGTGGTACCACCTACGTTACTGCTGAGCCGTCGATCGAATTCGATAGGTGATGGTGGTGACCCTCCGCCATCCTCCTGCTGCAACGGTACAGGAACCGGAAGAGGAAGCATCTCGGGAACGCCGTTCTGTACGTAGTGAGTTAGTCGGGTAGGCAAACAACCCGCGTTCAATTGATAGAATTCGATCAGTTGGAGTAAGTCATAGAACCGGGTTATGCCCTTGTCAAGAGTATACAGCCAGCAGTTGCATCGCTCGTCGAAAACCTGAAATCAACTTAGGATGTAATAATCATCAAGATACAGATTATTGCGAGATCAACAAGGAGAAACATATTAGATTTATGATTCTTAACCTATGATCTTCGCGAATACCCAGAGGACTATGAAACTCTTACACGCGCAAGTGAATGACTAAGAGGAAGCACGTGATTTGTTGCTTTATTTACTTATGATAAATTTCTAGTCTAGAATAAACACAAAATCAAAATCTAAAATAAAGTAAAAAAATTTAATACTAAAATTATTTATCTATAATATATATATATATATAAATGATTATAATATATCGAAATATATTAAAATTATATAATATTA